ATTTTTCTAGATTATCGAATATTTGCATATCAGAATCGAGTCGATTGAATTGGCGACAAGTTCCATGCCATTCATCATCGAAATCTTTTTCGCCGGTATACAATAAGATACGTGTAAAAGTGTTTAAATCAATTCAAGCTCCAAATTGCAGTGGGATATTCTAACGTGATGGACAACACCTTTTAAGTAGCGCTACTTAAACCAATCAGATTTACTATTTTTTTTTCTTCGCATATGATTCATATATATTTACAACTTCAAAGTGTGTAAAAATGTTTTCCCACCATTATATTGTGTGTAGATGTATATGTGGTTGACATAAAGATTCATCGACCTATATCCTTATTAATTATATTCATTTTTATTGATTTAAACTACTACATTGAGAATGAGAACCTTTTATTTTTAATAAAAATATTATGCATTTCCTTAATCGATTTAAACCATTTGATGACTCTCTCACCAAGTAGAATGATTGTTTTTAATAAAGTATTTTTTTGAAAAGAATCATAAACACAGAATAAAAATGTCTTCTTAAGTTTTTGTTATAATTCTGTCTATAAAAATCTTGATGATGCGATGTTTCAATAAAGTTTTCATCTAAGTTGTGTTGATTGAATAGGTTTTTCCACAATATTTTATACCCGAACAGATTGCTATCTTATGGGGCATGCGTGTACTTTTATGTTCATCCACACCCACAACACACAGCACTAACAACCTTCAAGAACAGCAACATTTGTCTTGTGTTTATGTATTTTCATGTTGAAGTATATTCACTAAAATACCTATCCCTTCGGTAGAATTTCGCTAGCTCTTTTTTATTCGTATATACCAGCCATTTTTTTGCAGCAAAGCCTTACTGCATAAAATAATTGTTATCTTTAAGAAAGTTGAAAAAAGTTGCGTTTTTATCATAGTTTCCTACGTGCTTGAAAAATACATATAACTTATTTCAGTGGAAAATTATTTTTTCATTTCAATTCTTTTACATTAAAAGCCACTTAGTCAGACTATCGAATCATACCACAATTCAGAACAAATTCGATTTTCCGTCAACTAGATTCCAGAAGGAAGCATTATCTCTTGGATTTAATGAGATTGAAAATGTTGATTTTCTTATAAATACTACTTTGAAACATCTGAACACAGCTTTACTAGTAAGAAGAAACGAAGATCTTTTAGAATAGGAGTGCTTTGGAAATTATTGATGTTGTATATTCACAATATTCATGTAATCACTTTTCTACTTTTACCACTATCGTGATCATTTACATGTGGCTGTGTAGAGTATTGAACGATGAATCTTTCGAAAAAAAAATGTAGTCCTAAATAGTGAAAACTGAAAGAGATATTGACCAAATATAGATACCGCCATTTATTCTGCCCCACCAGTTAGCATTAGCTTTATTGCAAGACCTCCGGAGTAACGAATCAGAGGGATAGGGCACTGAAAATTGGTAATTAAACTTTACAGACTTTCTCGCTGCATTAAAGAAATCAGTGATAAAGTGGGAAAACAGGAGCATATAGCATAATTCGGTACCGTCTAAGAGTGTTGACGTGTTGAAAGAAATTCACCGAATTACGAATATGTGTATTATATAGAGAAGAAAAAAATCAAGGAATGTGATTTGAAAGAACCATACTCACACTAAGAATGATGACTATACAAGTAGAAAAATCAGGTAAATAAATACAAATCAAAGCGATGGAACACTTTTCCCACCCACCATCCAAGATTCACACGACAGAAATTGAAAAGTCTTTTGGTTGCATCTATCGCAGATTTATTAATCACAAGCGTTGCTTGTGTCGAAAGCGACAACGGGTTGCAAAATTCTACTTGACTAGCAAGGCATAACAACTTTGCAATACAACTATTAAAAAGAACAAGCGAAAAGCCCTAGTATAGATCAAAATAGCCAACATGATCGCAAACTAATAAATAAATATAATATAATTCTGGATGTCCAATCCAAGTCAGCCGTCACTAGTATCAGCACAACTACAATACCAAAAATAATGAAATTCATCAAAAATTTGAAGAACCAAAAGTTCATCTGGATATGATCGGATATCTCATCACATGATCGAATTGCTTCCCGAGTCCATATGTATCACTTAGTTAAATATTTTAATGCCTGACTACGAGAAAGTGTGTAAAAGGATTTTTGGAGGACCACTTAGCTGAAATAACATCATGAAATAAACTAAGAATCAGTGTACTTCGACGAGAACCTGACTCGATCAATCTCGCTTTTGGCAACATGGTACAACCTATATTACCATTTTGTTAACAACGGCGGCGCAGATAAACCGAAGTCTATCACATCGGGTGTCGGTGGGTGTGGGTATGGGTGTCGGTGTGGGTGTGGGAGTGGATCGCTAAGAAGAAAATACTCCATCCACCCACACCCACAGTCACATCATTCGCTTGTCAATCTTCAATAGTTGCTTATGTTTGCTGATACGGAAGTCAACAAGTCATTACTCAAAGGTAAGATAAAATTAAAATTTTTTGAACATAGTTAACAAGCGTTTTTAGCGTAGATTCTGAATAGGTACTTTTTATTTTTACAAAGCATGTTGTAACTGATAAAAAATGAAGCGATATTTTTTCAGGAACTTTTGCATCGCCCGTTAAGTGAACAACCTGAAGGATAACGCCTTGATCATTCCAGTTGATTGTTACGCCTGTAATTTTTTTCAAAAAACGAATAATTTTTCAAATTTGAGATGATCGTTAACATGAAAATCAAGACGAATGAGCAATAGCTCTTTGAGAAAATTTACTTATTGTTTCCCCTAAAAATGGCCTTATGCCGCTCATGACCTATGGCAAAGTTTTGGTTTTTTTGACATACATTCAATCTTAATGAACAGAATATAGTAAAAATATATTGCCATTCAATGCGAATGACACCAAAAAATATAATACGGTCATGTTACAGCTTGGGAAGATAACTATCTTCTCATCTAACATAATCTTCAATTATTTCAAGTGGTTGATTCAATTCATATCCTATTTAACAATGCTCTTTAAAACAAACTAAATTTTAAAATTTCGTGCAAATTTGGTTGAAAAAAACGAAAATCTTCATAGTAAGTGTCATGACGTCTTCTATGAATGGTCACAAAAATATTATCAACATTAAGCTTTTTTAATAAATAGAACGAGAATCGATTTAACAACATGACTATATTCACTTGTCTAGAGAAGATCATATCTATGAAAAATCTTACCTTTTAGGATTTTTGAATTCTTCTATCACTGAATTAAGACAACTCCATCCATCATATGCCCAAAGGCCAGAGTAGAATGCGAGTGCAACACTCAACCGATTTTTTTGTCGTACCTATATGATACATAAGAAAATATGTTATTCGCTTGATTATCATAATCAACTGCATCCTACCATCAAAACTATTTTGCAAGTTTTGTGTATGTCCTATAAAAAAAATTCTTTAATGATTTACTTTAATTTCTCAAATAGAATAAGACTAAACCTTTTCCCATTCGTATCAGACCAGCTATTATTACTGTTATAATAGTGGATACCTTGCTGATAACAAATATAATATTAAGACGATTAGCTACAGACACAGTGATACAATTAATATTGATCAGTATTACTATAAATTGAATGATAATTGAAAAGTCACTAAATAAACAAAAAAAAGGTATATACGACTAGAAAAAAATAGCTGTCATTTTGATTCATTCTGCTGAAAGTTCACATTCTAAATGCACATACAAATGTACAAGATGACCAATTATCTATAGAAGCCAATTTACCTAGCATGATGCCAGATCAAAAGTATTGAGCAGAGCTAAGACTAAGAACTGCAATATCTGATGGTCTCATAATAAATGTATTTGTCCAACAGAAAAGATACGCTAATATATCACCTGTTCTCTCATGAATCGATCCAATACTTATTAATGAATATATTTATATCAAATCATTCGTAAAAAATAATATAATATATGTCAATGCTAGAAAATAATTGTTTTTAATGCACTTTGAAAAGAAAAGAAAAGAAAAGAAATGGATGTATATGACATTTCGACAATGCTAGAACAATCTTAATCTTTTATTTTTCCTATCTAAAGAGTAGTCTAAAAGTTTCGATTCTTGTCTGTAAACAGACATTATCTATATGAATACATATATAGATAAATGACTGAAATATAGAGATGTGTAGAAAAAGAAAACATTTTACATCTTACGTTTTTCTGCAGAAACAAAATATTGTTATTTAAAATATTTTTACATAATTCGATAGAGTTCGACAAACTCTATGAGAGTATGAATATTAAAAAAAAAGTCTAATCTAGTTTTTAATACAAATTTTGAAAGAAATAAGAAAGACAAATAAATATTTTATGTATTAAGCGTTAGAGAGAATAAGCTAGTCTCGGAATATCAACTAACAGTCGATCAACTAAAGTTATTGAAAATTAAACATACTGTTTATTGATTAACGAGACCAATCGCAAGTAGAAAAATGCGATACGATTTTCTAGAGATAGGATATTGATTAGGTTGATGGTGATCATAAGATTATGCCATTAGAATGGAATGAATAGTCGCTGCCATCATAGCCGAGAAAATGATGGTATGAGCGGCATAAAATTTTTTGTTTTTTTTATCTTTGATATCTGCTTTTCTATTATTTATCATCGGCTATTTTTGCCAAAAATCACCTAATAATGAGTTTACTAAAAGTTAGTAACAATTTGAGATTTACCACAACTTTCAAATACTTGATTTATTCTACATCATTATGTACTCGACAATTCTGTTGTTTAGAAAAAAATTGATTCATTTTGCTATCAAAATTATAACATTAAATATTGACATGATTGTTGTTGAATAATGTTTGCATGAACTTTTAGAACGCATGAATCGTGAGGATATGAGATTTGGCTCAAGTTTTACATGACCATAAAAGATAGCACTCCTAATGAAAAAAATGTTAGTACTAGTCTCGGTGCCTCTTGTCCATATCAAATATTGTCTTATACAACAGATGTAAAATTTTTATTAGAGTGCTTGGCTTCCTGTAATTTTTATATCAAAATATCTAGAAACTAATGTTCCATTCGATTTAAAAGATTGATACATTATAAAACTATTTTTTGTTTTTGTAGAAAAATGCAAGATGCATAATACTTAGTCATGATTAATAAAATAATTATAATTTCTCATGATTTTGATGCAAATCGAGCTACTTTCTTTTCAGATTATAGCTTTAGTCTTTCTTTATACAATTCTATATTTCAGTCAACTATCTAAATATGTATTCATCATATACATAAAATCAATTTATGAAGAAAAGTTGAAACTTTAAAGCCACACTTTAGTATACCTTCTTATAGCTAAGCAATTTCTATCCCATTTCTCGGTATCACTGTACCGATCTCTGCATAGCAAAGTGCTCCTGAAACAAGAAAAGAACACAAATTGTCTCCTACACATGGAGAATATTGTAAAACATACCGAGTGAAGAAACTAAACTGCATACAACCCAGATAATCAAACAGAGACCAACTGATTGTGTTTCTCGCAAAACACCTTTAGAAGAGATAAATATACCAGAACCTAATAATCAGAAATAATTCATAATAAACAAACAATATAAAAAGTAATCATTTACCAATGGTGTTACCAACAATAAAACACATTCTTGAAAATAAACCAACATGTCTTTTCAGTATTACTTCATCTGTTGGTAATACAATTTTCAATGGATCTGGTTGAACAATTGATATAATGAATACACGTCGATGTTTAGTAAGAGGAAATTGGACAGAACGATAATGATGAATTGAATCAATATCACCTAGAGGTAAAAATAACAATGAAATCCATGAAAAATTTCTTCTCATTATACTTGTAAAAAGTGATTTGACAATAAAACTATCTGGCATACTTTTTCTAATCTATTAATAGATATATTTCTTTTTCATGGAAATGTTAATAGTCATCATAAATATTTATGCTTCAAGATATACATATATATTAGTATATCAAAATAAACAATAGAAACAAATTTGTCATCAGATATATTTATAGTTTGCTTTTAAATCTTTAAAGACTTACGAATGCTTGGCTTGCGTGAAATATCTCTATCCATGTTAATTTTATAATCTGCTTATGTTTGTATAGATAATTCACGTTATAAAATGATCTTTATTGAACAATTGTCATCTTAGATAAAGATCGCAAGACCTTTTCTTTTATGCTTTGATTATATGTTAGATAGACAAGAAATTAAACAAATTGATGAGGGTCTATTCAATTTTGATATATTCATTTGCATTCCAATGAATATCTCTTGACTTTTCATGATGCAATCGTTGTGACACTAAATCAAGAATTTTCATGCGTATATCTAGCAAGAAATAGAGAAGAAAGAAAAACAACTCTCCGACAAATCATAATATAAGTGTGTCCCTCCTCGACAATCAGAATCATTCTTTGAATACTCATGCCATGGTACTGCAACATTGTGTTTGAACAGCAGAAATACTAAGGCCATGAAGCACAATAATTGATCAAGGTTCAGCTCGCATGAAATATAAACAAATAAACCAAAGATATTATCTTCGAATAATTTAATTAATGTCAATCAATCTCAACTCAATTGCAATAGATTTCGATACATGTGTTGACGATAAAAGGCTAAAACATCGCTATTTGAATTTCTGAGCGGTTTTAATGCGTTGATTGAAATATTATTCGGATGCCTTTGAATGAATTTTTTACAAAAAGTTGTGAGCTCTCAAAGACGTAATGAGTTTCGAGTGCCTAAAAATGAGAATATGCGCTCCTCGAAATATGGTAGAAATCCATGGAAAATTTTCGAAGAGTACAAATTTATATGCAAAATATGTTTTGTGCCATTGTCACACTTCTCGCTTGCCTGTGTAAAGAATAATCTTGGAATGATTCGTTAATTTTAGCGTAGAATCGCATCGATGGACAGTTAAGGTACATATTTTATTCAGATCTGATAAAAATTCGTTGTAGATTGAAAAGCGTTTGTAACAGTACAGGTCTATTATCGATGGATATTATTATGTCTATTGCTAATCATTGACGAACATTTCCTTTCACTTTTTAGTTCTTTGGGGAAAAGCATGACATCTGAATAACAACGAAAACATTTATTATATCATGATAAGAGATTTGATATTGAATTACAGGTGATACATAGTGCAATTATAGTTAAAAACTTGATGTGAAACATATTTAGTTTTTACAAACGTTAATTTTGTAATTTTTAATAATAAATCTAGACACCTGAGAAGGTTTCTCTGTTTATATATAGGCTTAAATATGAAAGAGCAATATTTCATGTGATTCTTTTGACATACTGAATTCAGTCCACGATAAGACCTACACTATTGGCTTGTTCGAATTAATTAACTAGAAAATGATCCATATTTTGAGTCATTTGAATAAAAATTATTCCAACAACGTGAGAATACTTAATAAACTTGACGAATGGCTAAAAACATCACTTAAACGTAATAATCTTCTTATAAATATCCAATTACTCATCGTCATGATCTATATTTTGATTGTTTACGATTAAAGGTAAATATGGGAAAAAATTTCCCGTTTACAATGCGTCAAAAATGCACTCTCTTTTCTTTCATTGATTCACATGTATTGTATTGTTACATCAAGGTATAAAACATACCATGTGTTCTCTGTCCTTTCAACTTGTATCAATCTGTAATTGAAAAGAAAACAACTATGTATTCTTCAATGTTTATCTATTTTTTTTCATTGATATCAGTAATTACTTATGCACAATCTCGTAGAAATGTGACGACATTTGCAACATGGAATATTGGTTTAGAAGAACAACAAGCATTTGAACGGACATCATCGATTATCCAAGCTATTCGTGAGAGTAATGTTGATATTCTTTGTTTACAAGAAGTATGGGGTGGTCCACAAATTTTACGTCAAATTTATCAATTCGTCAAAGATA